TATATATATATATATATATATATATATGACACCGGCGGCAATATATTTATGTGCACACATACTTATATATAAATGTGTATCATAAGCTTATAAAAATAATCTACTTATTCGGACCAAAAAACCATACAATTTTCGAGTCAATTTTGCTACGATTTTTACGGTCTTTCAAGACGTACAACAATATCTTACAGTAAAACGTTAAATACATATAAATATAAGATTAACGATTTCATTTATATCGTAAAACACTGAAAATCTTGTAAACCGCATTTGCACGCAATTGAATGGTTGGCGTAAACTAAACCGACAAAACGTTTGTCACTGCAGTAGATATATGTTGTTCAGTGAAAATACTATATAGCTATTTAGATACCAATTAGAAAGGCATATGATACACACAACGTTAAAACAATAAAGATAATTAAAACACTCATATGTCAATAATACATTATCAATATATATTACTAATAAATAATACAAACCAAACACTATCAGACTTGGTACAGAAATTTAAGTCTAGTGACAACAGAACAAGTACAACGTTGATTTTTATATTATTATTATTACATTTTTATTTACAGTTTTTTTTTTTTTATTTATCGTTTTATTGTAATTATGTACAAAATGTATAGAAATCATAATAATTATAATAATAATAATAATAATAATAATAATAATAATAATAATAATATTCATAATATTTATAATAATAATAATAATAATAATAATTAATAAAAAAAAAAAAAATTGTTGAAAAAAATTGATTAGGGCTTACAAATATTATATGATCTCTTTTTTTTTTTTTTTTTTTGAGCTGTAAACCTTATAACACTACAGAAAATAATACAATAATAATATTATTATAGCGCTGCATCCGTGTCGGATTCAATGTTATCGAATTCGCACACATAACCGGAAAACAATAGGTTATCCGGCCGGTATAATTCTATATCATATTTGTGTATATAAATGTATTATATATTTATGGGGGTTTTCAACAACGAAAAAAAAATATAATAATAATAATAATAATAATAATAATTATAACGCGAAATGTGTTCGGGTCACCACTGCATTAGTATTTAACTTAAAATATATTTTAAAATGAAATAATAACCATCTAATCGTTTGTCATACATCTTTTAAATTTAAATTAAATTTATCGTTTCGAAGAGATGATTTAAGATTTTTTTTCTTTACATATATGTATAAATATATATACATATAATTTATTTATGTATGTTTATATACGTTGTTCCTTAAAAATATATACCCTATTTTATAATCTTTATAATCATCATCATCACTTAATCACGACACAACAATATTTACAAATAGTTTTTTATTTATACAAATTATTATTATTTTATTCGATTTTGCTTTTATGCATATTAAAATATATATAATATATACATACATATATATATATATTATATATTTTTTATTTAAAATTGGGAAATAATGGCACAAAAACAACTCGGATCGTCGTAAATGGCAAAAATCCTATACAATTGGGGAGGATTCACCGGTATGTAGATGTAAAAACGTAAATATATTATAAATGTAATAAAAAAAAATAATAAAAACACACACACAGAGTATTGTTCTATTTTAAAAATTTAAATTTGGACAAATAGTTTGGTTGGAAATCGAAAGGGAGGAAAGTTCACGACTCACAGCCAAAGAGTAAGAAAAACATTTTAGCCTAGATAAATAAATATGTAGGTATTTATAAATGTATGTTTATTTATTAGTCTAAACAGTATACTAATAAAGTATAATTTAGAAAAACAAATAATTTTTTTCGTTATCAGTATAATTCTTTTAAACGAGAAGAAAAATATAAATCATAACAAATAAAGTAGGATAATGTTGTGAACACTAAGAACATTTGGACGGGAGAAAAATAAAAATATATCCGTACGTATATAATGACGAAATGAAATGTAAACGAAAATCAAAAACCGGAAAAGGATAAGAAAACAGAAACAAAATGTTTGATCTATCTCACGTTCTAATTTTGTTGTACCTATTTTTTTTTGTTTATTTTTTTTTTTTTTTTGTAAAAAAATAAGAAGAAAAATAAACTATCAGTTGTTCCCGCCGCGCGAATACCGATTTAAGCGAAATCTGATGGTTTTTCACTGCAGGATTATTTGGCGTGTTGTATGCCAAAAAACGTCACCATCGATCGATTGTCAGTGTATAAGTAGGTGCAGGAACGGAAACGAAAAAAATAATAATAATGGTAATATAAATAATAGTTGTCGAAATAAAAGAAACAAGGGAAAAAAATCTTGAAGCCCGCGACTAGCGATTCCGGAGTGGATGTACGCAGCTCCGTGGTAATACGCTCAATAATTGTATAATGCCGACGATGATGTTGACGGAATTTTTTAAACTAGTATACTATAATGTAGTAGTGTTGACGAATAGCTACGCGAAAGAACGCCGTACGGTGGTCTACATAAATTACTGGATTTTATAATAACACGGGGCACGCGACGAGATGGTTGTTTTCCTTTTATTTTAATATTCGGTCTCTCGAAGAGTCGCGTGCCTGTCACACTACGTATACACATACTATACACCTACGCTAAACGTTGTTTTCACAAACATCCTATCCTAAACGCTAAGATTACAAAAATTAATCGAAACAAAAAAATAATAAGTAATCAAAAAAAAAAAAAAGAAAAATACAAAAAAAAAAAAATAATATCAATTATAATACACGAGAATAATAATTATGTGTATAAAAATAATTTGTTGCTGGTTAATGAAGGGTGGGATGGGTGAGTGATGGTTGGCGCGTGAGTAAAAGACGGGTAAATCGTCGAAATTTCAAAGATTGCAATGTCGTTGACTAGTAACAAAATAGCAACGGGGACGGGGGGACGGGAGGAGTAGTCTCCGGAGGTGCAGATACCAAAGGTATATAAGTATAAGTAGTTTACGAGTCGTCCGGTCGTCGTATTTTAACTGAACGGTATGAATTCGTTGTTGGAGTACTATGACGAACGAAATCGAAGAAAACGAATGTTTGTCAGTTGTATAATTGTTCGGATTATATAGGCTATCGGGATATCGTAATCGCGCGCAGTTTAGGTGATAATTGGGTATTTCTTCGATTTCGCGATAAACGAAAATAATGTGACAAACGCACACGCACACACGCGCCTGGCAGTTCGTTCGGCTGTTGCAGATAATAAAACGCTATTCCGTCGCGTACGCAAGCCGCCGAATACGATAATAATGTTTAAACGGTCGTGGTTTTAAACGTTTATCGAACGTCGTTCTCCTGCACGCGAACCGAACCAGCTGGCGCGAACGCATTATGTAACACCGATAGGCGCACGCGTATCCGCAGATATTATTGTTGAAACCGTTACACGGTAATATTATTGCCCAGCGATAACACGGTCGACTTCGACTTTCGGTACGAAAATGTTTGAACTTAACGTGAACTCGCGGATTCGAGACTTTCAAGATTTCTCGGCCTCCCGGACCGGTGCATAGTGAGTTAGACATCGCAATCGTAATCGGTGCGGTCCAGAAGACGATGAAACGAACGGGACGAGGGAATGTTAAGGACGTACGGTGTCGTCGCCGGTGTGTACAGTTCGTTTTTCGGAAACTTGCCGTGCGCGAGAAAAACAAACACGACATCGACGCGCGATAATAACGAGGATAATAATATACGCGTATGCCGCGGAGACGCGGGAGCGCGCGCGGCACTCGGTGGCGGTGGCGGCGACGACTGCGTTTAACAAATCACAGTGATTTAAGGCGGTTTGTTTTGTGTGCGTGTAAAACAACCTTACACGCCCCGTCTAACGATCTCGTTCGGAAATCAAAGAAAAAAAAATGAAAATAAATAAATGGAAATAAAAACATTACTAATTGAATACATTATACGTATATTTATGAGCTATCTCGCCCCGGGCCGTCGTGCCGCCGAACAGGATAACCAGTTTTTTTATTACCGTGTTTTCGGCTTTTTTTTCTCCTCTCATCCGATATTTGTTTCATCGGATTACGCAGCTCGCGCGCGCGGGCGCGCGTGTGTGTGTGTGCGTTCATTTATGTTATTATTATCGTAATGCCCTGTACATGATATTCATATACACATTCACGCGCGTAACGACAAGTCTATTACATGCAAACGAACGTGAGCGTAATATATATAATTGTAATATGTGTGTGCACACGTCGTAACCGAAAATTGGTTTTTATTGTATAAATACATGTGTATATATATTTTTTTTTTCCCATTTCGGGAATTGAATAATTACAGGGGAGGCGTTGAAACTTTTTATGTACATGATAATCGCGTACACGATATTCAATCGTAATAATATTGTCGGGCAGGAGGACGATCGCGAGACGACGCGGGAAACGACCGGGAGCAGGATGAAACGGATTCGGTCAGCGTGCCGTGCGGTACCCGCAAATATGTATTTACGATGTACGTACGCGCGCACGAACACGTTGACCGGGATGGATGTGTCTGTAAACGATTTTTGTTTGTGTGCGTTTTTTTCCCCCGATTTTAATTTTTATGGCACGGTCTCGCGACGGACGACCCCGCGGGGATTCGCGGTCGAAACGCGAAATTAGAGTTTCTCGTTCGGGGCCGCGGCGTTTCGGCGTTCTTACGTTATTATAATATAAATACATACGTAAAAGGGAGGCGGTGAAGATCGTTTTGTTTATTTATTTATTCATTTTTTTTTTTTTATAATTTTTATTTACGTATAAAAAATGATGCACTTTTATGTACAAAGCAACTGTATAGATACATAAAAGAGCTGTTTCGTATGTGCATTCGAATCAAAATCATCCCTGGAAGAACCACCCATGTTATCATAATATACATACATATTACCTATATTTAAACACGTTGTCGCACATAATAATAATAATAATAATGATAATAATAATAATAATGATAATAATAATAATAATAATAATCATAATAATAATAATAATAATAATAATGATAATAATGATAATAATTATCATACTGATAATAATAATACAGAGGAGGGTTCAACGAAAATTTTAATTTTTATAACGTGCGAGATTGAAACTCCGAATTCAGCGGAGAGAACGTTATTCAATTTCAGCGCAATTCGTATTAAACGTTTAGATTTTAACGTGGTTTAAAAAAAGGCCGACACACGTTTTTTTTAAAGAAAAAAATAACGGAATTAAAAAAAAAAAATAAAAATAGGAAAAAACAATGTGTGTTAAGTTCTTTTCTACGGGGCAGTAGGTATTTTACAAAGTTGTTTTATTTATATATATATATAAAAAAAAAAAAAAAAATAAGAAACATTTTGAGAGATAAGATCGTGATCTCCCGTTCGCGCATTTATAACATTGTTAGTTAATTTTTGTTTATTTATTTTTTTGTTTGTTTTTTATTTATGGCTTACATGACACGTCGTGCGGAGCGAAGTGGCGCAGCCGTCGTCGGCGAAGTCGGCGGTGGCTGTAGCTTGCGGTGTAGTTGCTCGGACGACTTGCCGCTACTGCTGCTGCTGGTGTTCCGTGCCGCTTACATGTGATGGCCCAAGTGGCCCATCTGCAGGTCGGGTGACATGGAGTGCGGATGGGTCTGTTGGACGAGGTTCTGCTGTTGGCTGTGCGACAGGTACGGATGGTTGTGCGCGGGCTGTTGGTGGCCTTGCGCGGCCGCGGACAGCCTGGATTCGAGCGGCATGTACATGCGTAGCAGATCACTGCTGCCGAGTTGCTGTTGCTGCTGCTGTTGCTGCTGTTGCTGCTGTTGCTGCTGTTGCTGTTGCTGGTGCAGCTGCTGCTGCTGTTGCTGGCACAGCCTAGGGCTGGGCGAGTGTCCGCCGGACTGCGCGGGCGGCGTGATGCGCTCGGACTTGATACTGTCCGGGCTGTGCGACGTGGACGGCGGGCCCTGCTGGTACTGGTTCATGTCCGAGTACAGGTTGTAGCTGCCGTTCAAGTAGTGCATGGACGCGGCCGCGGCCGCGTTGTTGTTCATCTGCGGCATGTCGTATCGGTACCCGGCGGCCGCTTGAGACGCGGCGGCCATGTGCGACGCGTACGATGGCTGCTGCGCGTACGGGTTCGGGTCGTGGTGCATGCCGAAGCCACCGTTGGGCATGTAACCGTTCATCTGGTGGTACAGCTCCCGGCTGCTGTTTACCATCTGCTGTTGGACCGCGGCCGACGCGGCCTGAGAAACCGTGTTCCGGCCGCCCACCACTGAGTTGTCGCACGGCTGTCCGCCGGCACCGGCCAGTGATAGCGGGCCGCCGCCGCCCGGCAACGGGTACTTTTCCTTCTTCATCAGCGTCTTTGTCTTGCGCCTCGGCCGGTACTTGTAGTCCGGGTGCTCTTTCATATGTACCGCGCGCAACCTCTTGGCTTCATCGATGAACGGCCGTTTCTCCGTCTCGGTCAGCATTTTCCACTCGCTGCCCAGACGCTTACTGATCTCCGAGTTGTGCATCTTCGGGTTCTCCTGGGCCATCTTGCGGCGCTGCCCGCGCGACCACACCATGAACGCGTTCATCGGCCGCTTCACGCGGTCCACGTTCTGGTTCTTGTTGGCCGACGACGAGTTGTTGTTGTTGGGCGACGGTAGCTGCAGCTGTCCGCCAGCGCCCACCACGTGCCCACCCACCTGGTGATGGTGGTGCACGGCTTGCATGTGCTGGTGGTGCTGCTGCTGCTGCTGCTGCTGTTGCTGCTGCTGCTGTTGCTGTTGCTGCTGATGGAGCGCGGACTGCTGCTGCTGCTGCTGGGACGGCGGTGGAGAGGACAGCGGCTGTTGGCCGCCACCTACTTGCGGACCGCCGAGCACGACGCCCGCGGGCCCGATGCCGGCCAACATGCCCATCTGGTTCAAGTTGCCGTACGCGTGGCTCATGTGATGGCCTCCGCCGGCTAGCAGGCCGGAGGAACAGTTTTTGATTTCGGTGTCCATTAGCATTTTATCACGTGGACGGTGCTCGCGACCAGTGCAGGCTGCGACGGCGGTGTGGCGCGACAGAGCGGTTGGGCGGGAATCGGACGCGGCGCGCGCGGAACAACGGGTGTCCGCCGGGTCAACGCGGTGTTGACATATACGTTACGTACGCGAGTCGCGATCGACGGGACAGATTTCGACGGACGACGACGGTGCGATAACAGAATGTTTGTACGTACTATGAGCGGGATGCTATGCGACGACGACGTGGCGACGGTCGGACGACGGACGGGCTGCTGCGGACGAACGGCGACGACGGTATTCCCGCTGCATGTGGTGAGCACGACGTCGACGAAGCGGGTGGACGAGACAGTGATACGAATGGAATCGCACAACGGACACTGACGGAGAACAAAAAAAAAAAAAAATAATAGCGAACGCGGCGACGACGATAATAATTAACGGGTATTATCAATTACTATTGTCTTTGAGTGCGTTGTTATTTGAACAAAAAAAAAAACAAAGTGTACGTGCCCGGTGTACGGCGAATACGTCGAACGTGCAGGTCTGCCGCTAAAGTACTACGCGGACGACCGAACGCTACTAGTGCGGAGCGCTACGGCGGCTGCGGCGGCGGCGGCGGCGGTGGCGGAGTGTGCGCGGTCGTGCCCCACCACGTCGCGCGCAGGTATCTATCGATTGTCGCGCCGCCTCCCCGGCCAATCGGGTTCGCCGACGTCACGGCCGCTGGGCGGCCGCCGCCGAGTGAACCATATTTTTACGCGACCGCCGCCGCCGCGCGCTCGTCCGACCGTCCCCGCGCGCCGCCTCCGCACGTAGTACAGTACCCCCCCTACCACACCTTTTCCGTGCCGCGATCTTCGCCGCCACCGCCGCCGCGAACGGGACGAAACCGAAATTTCATGACGGGATGCGTCGCGGCGCGGGGGGGGGAGATTCGGGGGGAGACTTGCGAAATAAAAACGCGAAATCCGTCCGCAACGAACGACGGAAATTTCGCGCTCGACGGAAACGAAAACGAACCTCGCGGACTTTCGCGCTGCGACCGTTACGTTTACGGCCGACACCGTTGTTTACCGTTCAAAACGATTTTCGTTTCGCGTACGCCACTCGCGTCGTCGATAACGCGGTACGTTTTATCTCGAATTCGTACCGACCGGCAGACAAACCGGACACGGCACAAGCGAGTGTTGCTATAGTTATTATCGATGTACGTGAACGCTATCGACGTCCGTACGTGTTATTTTCGACCTCCGCCGGATTAGTTATTTTTTCCATCGTAATCGGTCGTTACGATCGTATCGCTTATCGTGTTGTACGTCTGCTGAGACCATACCGAACGACGGTGTAACAATACGAAAACGATTGTTTTTCATCTACTTTTAAATATTGTGCACACGTGGTACTATACGCGCGGACGGGGTTTCATACAAGTCTATCATCGCAGCGATACCGATTTCGTACATCGTGACAAAACCCGTTCGGTAAACCGGAAGCTTATCAACAAGAAAGAAAAAAAAAAATTAACAATATTCCGTGCAACAGTTTTGTTCGTTGAAACGCATCGAAACCTAAATGTTTGGTGTTAATAATAACGGAAACCGACTAAAATTACCGGTCGATCAATTAACTTTACTGTTTTCGTACATAATTCTGCGTAATCTTTTTTGAACTAACATCACCAAGTGTAGTACATCTAAATAAAAGCGCAATTGTACGTGCGGAGATTCCTTTGTCGCCACGTTATTGTATTACAGCCGTCGTCATAATGTGATCACGAAAAAGGGTCTCTACGCAACAAGGTCAAAGGTCAATATTCTATAGAAGTGCGTGTATGATGTCGGAAAATCGTATACATTATATTACTCGTATAGACCGCGAAACACCAGCATCCGATGATCGTCCACGCACGCGTCCGATTTGTTCACGACAATAATGATGATAATAATAAACTTTTTTTACGCACACACTGTCCCCTATGCACGTAGATTTATATACATCGATATTACAGTATGAATAGCATTTATTCGGTACTGTACACTACAATGCGTGTACAATGTAGGAATCACGACGACGGTAACGGAGCCCAGGATTGTGTACTACGACGCACTTACGGTGTTGTAGGTATGCACAATAAGTAAACAGAGTGCGTACGTCGAAAATTGAAAGGGCGTGATAAAATCTCAATCGTTCGGGTTACAGAAACGGTTTATGTTGTACGCAAACAACAAGTACCGTAGAATTGTTTTCGACCAAATTGCAGAAAAATTACACTTCATTTCCATCATCGAGATACCTGTATACGTTTAAATCGATTATTTTCAGAAGGAACAATGCTCATTTCAAACATGCGGATTTCATCGTAGGCTATATTTAAAATTTATCATATACCCATATTAAAAAATTGCAAACTTTTGTGCCTGAACAGTATTTTTCTGTACGACTATACATAAATACGAATAAAAAAACGATCAATATTTATGATATCTCGCGCTAGATATTAAAGACAATATGTTCAAGTACACTTAAATCAATTTGTAAGGCGTGATGGCACCCCGAACAAAATCCATCGGCGTGAGTCCGCATTTGAACAATTATTGTTTTTTTTTTTTTAAATTTTCTTAAACGTTCATTCATGTCTTAGTTGTATACAACAATAATTATTTCCTTTCACTAAACCGGACAAAAAATTTTATCCGTGCAGTTCGGAAGTGTGATAAAATATAAATGTCCTAACCGAAAACCATGCATGTACATGGATTTTCTACGATATTAACATCGTTGTAGGTACGGTGTATTATTTTTTTCAAACCAGTTAACTGTAATATCCCCAACGTTTTATGTGTATAGATAATATAAAAGATCTATAATGCCTTTACCTAAATCTCGTCTACGTTCGGAATGCGGTATATTATTATTTCTTAAATATAAATATTAACATACACGTGATATATGTGTATGCTGTACGTGCGTATATAATATAAAATATCATAAAACATTAAAATATAATATGAACTACATCTTCATATTTTTATTAGATGTTTATATAATAATATTCCACCTATCTAAAATATCAATATGCGAAATGCGTTTCACGTATGTTTCTATCCTCGTATATACTGCACTCAAGTGTAGATCTATAAATGAAAAAGGAGGGCCTGGACGAAAATAAATGTACTTCAAGTATGTATAATTACAAACATTAAGTTTAGTGAATAAAATAATAATCATACATGCATATCATAAAATAATAATAAAAAAACTTTAATAATAAAATTAAGTTTTATTGCATTCATCAAATAATAACATACGAAAGAGTGGAAAATATTTAGTGGTTGAAAAAAATATTACTGTTTATTAGCAAATTAATTTAATCAGTCCTCTGTTTTTATTCTCTTAGGTGAATATTATTGAGGACTATATAAATTATCACGATTTTCAGTCACTCCTAAATATCAATAAGCAATATAATATAACACGTTATAAATGTAGTACAATTCCTCTTTAATTAACAAATTGAAAATATTTTTTAAATATTTTAAGTACCAAAGACCTTAGGGAGGATCTTTCAGCCCCCATATCTCCCTCTTGTATCCGCGCCTGTCTGCACTCAATTATTATATCATTTATACATATGTAGTTGTATAACAAAAAATAAAAATATCAAAATAAAACATAATATATTTGGTCTGTCAATGGAATAGCAGTTTTTTTTTATTGCACGGGCTCAGTTATGTGTTACAGGTTTATACGTTTCAGGTATATATATATATTTATATTATATGTATATATGTATTATGTTTTTAGGTACCTACTTGAATTTCTACGTAAACGCGTTTCTAAAACGACAGGTATAAAATATATAGCTACAGTTTACTGCGAATTACCTTAATGTTTCGTTAAAATCAAAAAATATGTGTGCATGGGTGTATCCGCGACATTCCTTTGTCTACGTGTTGTTCATATTTTGAACATTCATTCCCATACTGACCTAAACGCGTATCAGCAGAAATATCATAATGTATTTTATTTGATACTTACTTTTAAAACATACATTTATTCGAAATCATTTTTAGTAGTATGTTTGTTTTGATTATAATATAATTAGTACCAGACATTAAACGTATGCGAAATTATATGGTAATTAAGCGTTTAAATTGTAGAAATTCGATAAAAATTTAATCATACACATTTATATAACCTAACCTTTGGCTCACATTAGCATTGTTCGGGTCTACGTATAATTGTATAATAAAGGTTTTAACAACATGTTGTAAATTGAAACATACACGTATGAGAATTGCAAAAATATATACATATATATCGTGTACTTTTGTATTGCACAATATACAATAAATACCGTGAGTAAAATTTACGTATTTCAGAGAAGGAAAAGGGACGGTATTTTATTTTTTATACTCCAAAAAGAAAAATGTATACATATACATCTAATTTTTGGTGAATACTGCAGGCTATATTACACATGGCTTTATATTATTGAATAAAGACTATCTAAATAAGTAATTATAATCATACATTTTTTATTCGACGTAAATTGTATATTTTCAAGTAGTATAGGGTCAAAAAAAAAAATTAAATTAAATAAAAATATACTGGTAGACGTATATTACGCGCCGTCGAGTCCGCCTGAGGTTTAAGGCTTACAAATAACGCTTTTGTGCGTCACAATAGAATGACCCATTAAAAAAATAAATATATATATGTTATTATTTTCCCAACTTTTACCGTTCAAGGCACACAACTTATTGTTGAAAAAAAAACATAATTCCTAATGGAACATCTTAATAAAACACAGCTGGACGGCCCAAATATAGTGTATATATTTATACGACGAAGAGGCAAACAAACATTACAAATAGCGAATATTTTTCGCACATTGGGCACATATAGGCCGTTGCCAGTGACGCATTTATTGGGGGGGGGGGGGATATATCCCTTCCCTTACCCTTTTTTTTCCATATATTAAGTACAAACTGCACTACTGTTATTATTTATAATTTTGTTATCCTGTGGGCAGTGACTGACAACACGTGAGAGATATTACACAACAATAACAACACAAAATTAAAATAGAACCATATTCAGGAAAAGCCGGGTAAAACCCGCTAATACCTACCATGTAATAAAGATAGCTCACTGTTATACTAAATATTATACAAAGTATGCAGTGCACGAAATTTCTTGCGACATCACCACAGCGGACTATAAGGAATCGTCGATTTTAAAATAATTATTTCTAATCGCATCGCATTACTGTGATCGCACATTCGTACATCATTCCACGTTCCCTCTCTCATAGCCGCATTGCCATTGCGCACTTGTTGTTTTTATGTACCTACCTAATTCTTTTTTTTGAAGTAAATTAATTAATTTAAACTGAATAATTGAAAGTTATAAATCAATGGCATCAAAAAAACCATGCAGTAATAATTTATTAGAACTCTTATTCACCAGTAATAGACCCATGCTCTAGTTTGGCTGAATTAAATATGTGGAGAACAAAGTTAGTTACAGAACACATTGTTCTCAGGTTAGGACTACAGGCATTTGCAATTTGTGATGAAGAGTTC